CCCCCCGTGCCTCAGTTTCCCCTTTTTTCAGGGACTTATGTGGCTTTCCCCTTTCCTAGACAGCCCCCCACCACGCCTTGCCCTCGTGGCTTCCTCTTCTATAGGGCACCCCTCTGTAGCGCCCCTAGACCAACCTTGCCGTGCGCGGCACTGCAGCACCCATCATCCTGAGCCGAGCGGTCTCAATTTGGGGCCGAGGTGGCCTTCCCTTCTTGCAAAGTGCAGCCACCATCCTCCCCAGCCAGGCCACTCCTTTCAATATTTGGACCACTCCCCTCCACAGCCCCAGCTTGCCTGTCCATAGGGGACGATGGGGTTTGTAGTCCCAGCCGCGGACGAGGCTGACCAATTAGGGAATGATCCATGCAGGGGTCTCCCTGGGTCGGTCTTTTTACAAGTTTGCAGAGCTTTGGAGAAGATAAGAAAAGCCCTTGATCTTTCCTTCCCTTTGACTCCCATCAGCCCTGGCCAGCCAAGGATGATGGGAGCTGTCATCCCAAACATCTAGGGGCCATCAGGATGCCTAGCCAAGCATGCTCTTTTCCCAGGAACCCACATCCGGGCAGCCCCCTTCCCCACCCTGCAACCTCCTGCAACCGATAGACTGCCCCTTGGCATGGATGCTCTCTTCCCCACTCAGCCAGGCAGTAGCCTCCGGATGAGGAATTCAGCTGTCAGTTTGGATCATATCCCCAAATCATTTTGCCCAGCATTCTGGTTGTAACGGCTGACAGTTACTGCTTGCAGGAATTACAGAGTTAATAGATTCCTCTGCTTTTTCTGTGCGGAAAAAAAACTCTGAGATACTCTCCGTGATCTTGTCTTTGGTAATCTCATTATACGGCTACCCAAAACTGTCACAACCCTTTTTGAATTGCTGTATTCTTCTCAGTGATCCAATACTTTCCCCCAGTTTATTGGTTTATTTATTCCACTGACCTCTCCTCTTCCTCTCCTTCTCACAAGCTAATTTTTTTCTCTCTCTCTCTCCTTTCCTCCCATTTCTTTATAATCGGTGCAATTGCTCTTCCTGTTTGTCTCTGGGAATCAGTTCCTTTTTACAGTTGGGTTTAAGAAATGCACTTCAATTCACCACTGAGTTCTTTCATATCATATGGTGCTGTGCTCCCTACAAATCTGCCTGGCCTTTGGGCCCCTTGAAGTTTCAACAACTTATTTTTCACCTTCTTGAATTGAATGCTGAAGTTCCTGAGGGCTAGCAACTTTCATGTATCTGAAACAAAAGAGCTGAGATTCACACTTGTGTTGACCCGCACATTGTCCTAGAACTGTCTTTCAGTGCATACCACCACCGGTTTGTAGTTGTCCTAATTAAACCATGGCTTGACGGAAGTGATTTCTCTTGGATTTTGGTAGCCTTTTTGTAGGAGACGCTCATCCCACATAGAGGGTCTGGTGGCCATGCAGCAACATGAGCCGAAAGGAAATCTCTGCCCCATGGAACTTACAATTTCAGGTCTGGTGTGGATAGAAGAAGAAGAAAAATGGAAAATATTTGCAGTTTTTATGGGAGGGTTTAAAATTAGGTGTTTTTCAAGCTTGTCAGCAGCCTGCCTCTTTGCTCTATCTGGTTCCAGCTTTGTTTCTTAAATCTCTTGGTTGCAACATATATGGAGACTGGAAGTGATCTTTGCCCCAGCAGCAATTTGCCCTTCGCTCCCTCCTTAATGCCCATAGTCCCCCCCGCCGCCCGCTTTCGGCTAGAACAGTGTTTGTCAACCTTGGTAACTTTGAGATATGTGGACTTCGTCTCCCAGAATTCCCCTGCCAGCATGCTGACAGGGGATTCTGGGAGTTGAAGTCCACCCATTTTAAAGTTGCTGAGGTTGACAAACACTGGGCTAGAAGCTGCTTCCAATCCCCAACAACCTTGCTGGGAACTTGATCAAATCCTGAAACATGCAGCTTAGTTGGCCTTTTAAGAGACCTCAAATGCCTCCTGCAAAATAATAATTTGCTGTCTCCCCTGAGTGGGGCACTGAGATAATTTGCAAGTACAAGAACAAATCTTACGATGGTCTATTACAAAAGCTTTCAATAGGCTAATTTTAGAGGGAGCAGGAAGCTATTTTGTCACCAGCTGAGGAAGACGTTGCTCAGCCATAGAACATCTGGATTGGGGCATCTCCAGGTAGGCTGGAATAGACTTCTCTGTAGGCCTTTAGAATGGCTTGCCGATCCTGGAGACAGGCACCAGCTTAGGTGGATTGGTGAGCTACACCGCTGCATTTGGTGGTCAGGAAAAAATGTGTTAAAGTTCTTTAATTCTGTCTCATCCTGGCTAGTAAGCAGCTGTGTATCAGCTTCGCTCACCAACCACTCTTGTACATTGCTATGGAATTATAATATGACTGTGCACCTCTGGCTAGTTTGGACAAGTGTCCCCCCCTCCCCTCCCCCCCCAAAATTAAAAGTTGAGAAGGAAAAGCGTTTGCATTACTTTCCTCACCTTAATAGTTGCCTTTGTGGGCGGATTTGTTCTTTCTGAGCCTTTGAATTTTGCCAGTGGGACATCATCTCCTTTCCAAAATCTACTCTGGCTGCTTCTTTCAAAGAGATTTTAAGAACTGCCTCGGCTGGATCAGCATCAAGCTTTGCAGAGAGCCCCGTGGGCTGCTTCCAATAGCCCATAAGGCAGTGCCTATCCTCGTTCTCCATTCGTTGTGTGAGATCCCCATAGTGTAGAGCAGTGTTTCTCAACCTTGGGAACTTTAAGACGTGTGGACTTCAACCCCCAGAATTCCTGAGCCAGGCCTGCTGGCTGGGGGATTCTGGGGGGTTAAGTCCACAAGTATTAAAGTTCCCACAGTTGTGAAACACTGGTCTACACTCAGGGGATCTCACA